CCAGGCCGTTGCCGGCCAAGTCATAATAGCAGAGGAGGATGACAGCGTTTAGGAGTAACTTGATACAGAACACTTTCGGACTTATTTGTCTTCATTCAACCAAGCATAACCCTGTCCACCAGCTGGGTCAGACAAGACAAACATGAGCACTCACAGATGGCGCAGATTGTTCACCACTGGGGTATACCAGATGGTCCTAAACCCTTCAATGGAGTTGGCTATCACCATCTGATGACGGCATATAAACCAGAAAAGGCGTTCGTGGATGTCCCCTGTCTTTATCGGTAATGCATAAAACAAATACATTACTAAAAGTTAATAAGTAACATTACTTTTAGCCTTGCAACGTATACACTTGGGGTGCCAAGGTTGCCTAAGGCATCAACCAGGATGGGTACATCATGAAACAGATCGGTGTACAGTTACCCAGTAGCCAATCAAATTGCATCAGTTCACTGACTGGCTGCAGGCGACCGAGGACCCACGCTCTGGGAGCAAAACTCAACGGCGGACACCGGCGCGCACACACACGCACTGAAAACTCGTTACCTGAACGGAAGCTCATCACTCAAAACACATTTTCTGTGAGCGGCTCGCTCGTTACCTGAAGTGCTCGTAGATGGGGCTGTTCGTAACCCGAGGCTCCATTGTATATAGTATGCGTCTACAAAACAAAGATTTGATTTATAGTTTCAATGAAAAAAGGAAACTCAAATGTAAATTTTCCGTGGCGAAATTGGCTGGTATGTTGCATAAGGTGGAAATTCTCACCGGAAACGTTTTATCCTATCGCCAAGGTTTCAGATAACCCGATTGTCAAATCATTAAATGACAAAATATGCCAGCAATTTAAATAGCTTACCAAGTTAGTCTGCCTTTAATCGATCGGTTATTCGTTTTCTTTCACAGTCCCAGCCCCACTACCGCTCAGACAACATATCGCGTCACTCGTAATCGTCTTTATGGAAGGCAGTTAACCCACCGCCGCCCTTGATCGGTGGCTCTCTCGCGACACCGTTGGGAGGGTGTCTCCCAGGGAGGAAGAGCTTAAATGCAGAATGACTCAGTGTTGAGGCGTAGTTTGTGGATATCGGTTCTATTAACAGACACATTGACTTTCCTTCGGCTTGTGTTGACCTGCGTCACTACCCGCACAGGGTTCAAGACAAGAATATCACATTGAATTTAAGAAACTCGACCACTCATTAACCCAACGGGAAACTAAAAAGTCACCAAGCCTAATAATTTTGAGGCTCCACCATCCTCTGTGGAGATGATAAAGTAAGCAGATTTCATCTTCGCCAAACAGAGTCAGTGCAGAAGAACGAAAATTAATCACCGCCTGGCCAACTATTTCGTCAAACTATTTGAATTTCTGTTCGAAGTTATACTACGAACGCCTTGACAAAACTGAACCGACCAAACTCTCCGCAAAGTCCTCGAGATAATAAAGCTGCTTCGGTGATTTGGTAAGGGTCTATTATAAGTAACACCACGGAAAGCAGAAAACCGGTGATAATAGGGATTCTACGGGTTGGGACTTATGGAGGTGCGGGAGGGAAAATAAATGCAATATACCAAACAAACACAGGAGATAGTAGACAACATTATCATTAAAAGCCCACGATAATTAAAAAACAATAATACTAAGTGTCAATGTTGCCAAGCTTCATTAGGATGTTTTGCGGCGTGTGGCAACGTTGTCCTCTTTTTTTCGGCCGCCAAATTCCGAATGCACCGAACTGACAAGCATGTGTACTTTGTTCCCCCCATCAAGGTAAGAAGTTAGGCGTTGATTCACACACATTTGGTGTTATGACCGCTTCCGATCTGGAGACCTGGTTGCGGGAGATTGTGAATGGCGCGCAGAAACTGCTCACGTCAGCCTCTCATCTCTCAATCGCCTGTCGATGGCGGGGCCTGGAGTCAAGACTGCTTCTCCACCAGGATTACGGTCTGACCCTGGTACAGGCGGCTGGGGTGTCGGTATCCGAGGCGCACACAATAGACAACGGCACCACCAACTACTGGACTTTTAGTCAAATGACCAATCCTTCGCCGTCAACTGTCTTATGGTCCTTCCCCTTTGAACGCCTACGCTCCACTGCGGATGACGGCTGTTCGATCCTCTGGCTAAATTTCGGCAAAGACGGTGAACAGGTAGTCTACCTGAAAGTAGTAACAGAATGCAGTACTGTTTTAAAAACTGCATAATGAATCCTTGCTCAGTGACCTACTGTAGTTTGAGTAATAAATCTTGCATTCAACATCCAGATTATGTGTCCAATCAGGCAACACTTTTAAATGCATTTTTTTCTGTTAACAGAGGTGCTGTGGGCATTTTGATCAAGAGGAATGTTCATCGGCTTTCCTTATTTACAATATATTGGCTTAGCCACTGTTATAAAAATACATACTCCCCAAAATGGTCATGTGATCCCACTAGAAAGTCTGTGTCGTGTTCCGTCTGCGTGCTGCATGCAGGTTCTCGACAGCGCCTCGCCATTGGCTGCCACCGCTGCGTGTCTTTGGAGCCTGATAAGTCAGCGTCTGTGATAAGGTAATAGGTTATTTTAGTCTCTCTTTTTGGAACGGGGTAGACGGAATTATAACTAACCTGAAGATTATGCTATAAATATAGGCCGCTTTGTAGTGAGTAGGACTTACACGTACCAATACTCATTGTTCCGGTCAATCATGTTTTGTTTTCCTGTCCTGAAGTGGCTTGAGACAATATTCGAGCTCGCATGCGCTTCGTGTTCTTATCCAGTACAAGGTAGGATCAAAACTGTCATAATTTAGCTGATATTTCTTCAGGACAAATTGGCTCCTATAGATGTCGGTAGACCGCCTCCATTCCGGTGGCATTTCATTTTTTAAGTTTGTTTGATGAGAGTAATAGGCAGTACCTTTGAAAACCATATTGTTTACATGCCGATGTCTCATAAACATTTGCACAAACACGCATAAAATAATCACGTTAAACACTGTATTCACAAGTTGTGAGTAGCATTGTTTTTATAAATAACTGTTATTTGGGGTTTGCATGCTGTTAGTTCGAGTTCAGAGGTTCCCTCTTTCATTTTGAATAATTTGTCGTTCCCTATTTTACACATCTCCTCTTTTATCTTCTACTAGGAAATCGATCTTCCAGGCGGAGCCAAACCCGTTGTATTCATCCTCTTAAACATGCTCTCCACAAAACTCCTGCGCCGAAAAGCCTGCACCTACCTAAACGTCGACATTCCACCTTGACGGATGCTTTTTATTCCAGGGGGAACCCATTTGTGATAATTTTGGTCTTTTACTACCGAAGGTGCTTCCTACTGCTCAGTCAATTTTTCGTTGAACTTGTCTCGTCCACGTGCTTTTTTCCTGTGGCGGTGTATACTACTTTTTTCCAGATAAAATCACTACTTATATTACTGCCCTGAATCCCGCTCCTA